GGTGTGCTGCTGACCTCAACCCGGGATGTCGTGGGTCGGTGGGCAGAATACTTCGAAGACCTCCTCAATCCCACCGGCACGTCTTCCACTGAGGAAGCAGAGCCTGAGGACTTTGGGTCGGGCTCTCCAATCTCGGTGCTGAGGTCACCGAGGTGGTTAAAAAATTCCTTGTTGGCAGCGCCCCGGGGTTGGATGAGATTCGCCTGGAGTTCCTTAAGGCTCTGGATGTTGTGGGGTTCTGTATGGAAAAACAGTAGAAAAACTTTGACTTCATTTGATCATGAGGACAGCAGAGTGTTTATTTTCTCATCACAATTACATAAAATCCCTTCAGTAATAGAAATCAATGCCAACTTAGTAGACCCTATGCTTTAACAGAAATTGAAAAGTAAAATTAAATATTTCTTGCAGTACAAAGAAGGAGAACAAAGACTAGTGAACAAAAGGAGTAGAGCAAAGTAAAACCTAAAACTCTTTAGTTATGCCCTGTTGTGGAGTAAAAAGAGGAAATTGGAAACATCCCCCATCTGTCCATGCATGTTGTGAGCATTTGTTGATAAAAAAAAACCTGAAATGTGTTTTTTTTTTAAACAGTTGACCCATGAAGAGTACAAAAAAGGCATTTAAATTTGATGTTTTATTTCAGACTGTGATGCCTGTTTTTTTTTTTTTTTGTATATAAACTATGATGACTTTTTGACCATGTAGAGATAGTCCTGTGATGGACATGATATCTGTCCAGGTGTCCCTGTGACAGATTGGATAACTGTCCAGGTGTCCCTGTGATGGACTGGAGACCTGGCGGCTGTGGCTGAGTGGTTAGAGCATTCGTCTTCCAATGCAATAGTTGGGGGTTCAATTTCACCAGCAGTCACATGCCAAAGTGTCCTGGGAAAGACACTGAACCCCTCATTGCTTCCGGTGTGTGTTCCATTGGTGTATGAATGTGATTTAAAGGTCTGATCATTCTTTGTAGAGATGTAGTACAGCGCGGTATGAACATGTAATGAGGGCACAGATTGTAGTGTAAAGCACTTAGAGTATCTTGTTGGCATAGAAAGGTGCTGTATAAGTACAGTCCATTCACCATTTACCTGTCCAGGTGTCCCTGTGATGGACTGGAGACCTGTCCAGGTGTCTCTGTGATGGACTGGAAACCTGTCCAGGGTGTCCTTGTGATGGACTGGAGACCTGGCCAACTGTCCTTGTAATGGACTGGAGACCTGTCCAGGTGTCCCTGTGATGGACTGGAGACCTGTTCACGATGCCCTCAGCCTTTTGCACAGTGACTGCTGGATAATGACACCAGTATCCTGGAAAGAAAGATGCAGACAAAGATAATGGATGGATGGACTTTAGTTTTTAAGTTAACTTGCTCATTGTCCCATGTGAATATTTGAGTTAGTTGTTGGTTACCTCCAGCACTGAACCACAGTTTAACATCATAAACCACCTTCACTTTTCTCTTTTTTTTAGGCCTGATGGGATTGGTACAGTGACTGGGGAGGAAAAGGAGCGTTTTGAGGAGATTAAGGAGAGACTACGAGTGCTTCTGGAAAATCAGATTACACACTTCAGGTAGGAATCAGGAGCACAGATCACATGTTAAGGTTCATCTAAGGTCAGCTACCTAGTGGGTGATTCAAATCAACTTTTTGAATTATGATTTCTCTGACCTGCTCTGCTGGTTCTGGTGAGTTCTTTTATGTTAGGTTTTTATGCCCCTTTTCCACTGTCACGGTGCGGGTCGGATATTTCCGGCTTGACGCATGTTTCAGGTCTTTTCCATGGTTCTTGGAACTGGCTCACCTCCCAGAATTCGGGCCCGGCTTCTCAAGGGGTCCAAGCAAGCCGAGCCGTGATGTCAGAAACACTGTCAGTCACTGATTGGTCGGGGGGAGGAGTCTGTGGAGTCTTTCCAAACAACCCGATCTGCCATTTTTTCTCTACCGCCTGCCATTGGTGATAACTGGAGGAGTGTATCTTTTAGTATTTTGAAGCTATACAACAACAATAATATCAAAGCCGTGGTCAAATGCAGAAGTGCAGGTGTTGTTGTGCTTGGTGGCCGACAAAAAAAGTCAAATCGAGCTAGATGGAGGATTGGAGGGTGGTTTGGACACGACTACTGCTCTACTTGAACCATTTATAGAAGATGGTGAGTGTTTTCTAACTTTAAACATATTTTAAGTGACTCATCCCATCGGTTCTGAACATATTTTTAACTAACAAAAGAGGCTGACGCCATAATAGGACAACATCGGTGCCACGATGCTAAGCTAATTTGCATAAACGCTAACTGTCCTCCGGTCCCGTTTCTCACTGTATTTTATCCAGAACATATTTCAGCGCGTGACGGTTCATCTCTAAACTCCACATTAAACCCCCCAAGCCTCCCGGCTCCTGCTCCATCAGAGGAGTCTACACCTGACAGAGCTCCATCACAGCCCACCTGCACCTCACAGAGCAGCACAACGCTGCAGCTTCTGTGCTCGGTAAGAACAGATGCAACATGTTCCACATCACTTTATTTGTGCCGATAAGAACTTGATTTATTTTATTTTATTTTTAAAGTAAAAAAATAAAATGTTGAATAAATACTGAATACGCACCACATGTTGAACATGTGGTGGTATGTTATGTTCACAGGGTCCCAGTTACAGACAACAAAATGTAAAAGAAAAACAGTAATAAGATCTAAGATATAAATTAAGAAAAATATCAACTGAAGACATCTACTAATAAAACACTAAGCACTAATAGCAGTAAACAAACAAAACAATACGTGAAACAGCAACATGAACTTGAGTTTGTGCAGCCTCATGAATATCTAACCAGGATAATCATGTTGCTGCTGATCCGTTTCATGTTGCTGCTGATCAGTTTCATGTTGCTGCTGATCATTTTCATGTTGCTGCTGATCTGTTTCATGTGTATGTGTTCATTCATGCTCATCTGTTCACACAGACTCATGTCCGTGCTGCTGTTCGATCTTATTACTGTTTTTCTTTTATATTTTATTGTTGGATGTAACTGGGACCCTGTGAACATAATTTTGATCCACCACATGTACCACATGTGGTGCGAATGACAATAAAGAATATCTGTATAATACTTTCTGATTCATATATCCACTGTTATTATTATATTATTTTCATTATTTTTAAATCAATTTATTTTTCATTTTCTTATTTGATCAGTTTATTATTATTAATATATCTATTATAGCTGTTAGCTGCACCTTTCTTTGTTTCATGCATTTATTCAAAAACAGTATGTAGCTTGAATTAACCACCTGTTTCTTCTTTCTAGTGAAGAGAAAGAGAAAAGAGTCCAGTAAAGAAAAGTCTTCTTTCATCACTGAATGAACATGAAGAACTGAAGCGGACACAGCAGGAACAACACTTGTGTCTTCTAGGGATTGAATGAGTATATAATTTTAAAACTCGACATTAACATAATAAAACCCTAGTAGAACTCGAATATTTGATGACGTCATAGATCTCAAAGATAAATAAATAAATAAAACCGCAATAAAAGGTCATTATTTACCAAAAAAAAAAAGACCAACAGAACATTGGGAGCGTATATTCTGCTCCTACCATTTATCATACTGCAAATAAGTCACAGGAAAAACTAAACTATTAGTTTTTATTATTAAACTGCAAACGTGAAGAAACGCAGCACGTCAGAAACGAAACTTAAAACAGTGGATGGGCAATTGGATTGGACCCGGTGTTACACTAAACTCTGTGACCTGCAACAGTGCAACACCGCCCCCTACGGTCATACGGTGGTCACATAATATGACGTCACTACGGATACTCGACGTTACATTTTAAACCTCGATAGATGTTCTAGCAATCGATGTGTAGATTACTCGAGTACTCTGTTAATGCCCTATTGTCTTCTGGATGAAGCCCGTGAGACGAGGGACACACAGATACACAGTCATTAGTTGGACGCTGTAGTTTTTATTTTTGTATATTTTTCACTTCTTACTTTTACTATTAAACATTTTTTTCTTAAGTGGTGTCCTTGAACATTAAATTTCCTAAACAAATTTTACAATGTTAAGTTCATATAGTGTTTGTTTAAATTCATACTGGAAGTTGAGAAGAATTTCCAGTTGCATTTGATCTTTAATGGATCCTAAGAAAAGATTACCAGAATCTGCTCAACTGTTATTATGTTATAAATGTTTTGGTTCTAGGATGAAGTGACACAAAAACAGTCAAATATTCAGAAAGGACAGTTATCAATTATCAGTCATCAGTTATCAGTTACCAGTTATCAGTTATCATTTATCGGCCGTACAACTGTAACCCCCGAGAGATTCAGCTGAAAGTCCTGGTGCACCTTTTATTTGAACCTGCAGAGATTTGAACAGCTGATCTGAAGCAAACAGGCAGGAGTTCACCTGAACTGAGCACTCCTGCTGTTTGATGGTCTCCTCCTTCACCATCCATCCATCATCCATCCATCCATCATCCATCCTTCCCCCCTCCATCTAACCTTCCATAATCTGTCCTTCTATCTGTCCATCCATCATCCATCCATCCTCCATCCATCCATCCATCCATCCATCCATCCATCCATCCATCCATCATCCATCCTTCCCCCTCCATCTAACCTTCCATAATCTGTCCATCTATCTGTCCATCCATCATCCATCCATCCATCCATCCTCCATCCATCCTTCATCCATCCATCCATCCATCCATCCATCATCCATCCATCCATCCATCCATCATCCATCCATCCATCCATCCATCATCCATCCATCCATCCATCCATCCATCCATCCATCCATCCATCCATCCATCCATCCATCCATCCATCCATCCATCCATCATCTTCTGCTTCCGGGTCATGGGGGCAGCATCTTCACCAGGGAGGCACAGACATCAACAGCCACCTCTTCAACTCTTCTAGGACCCCACGGTGTTCACAGACCAACTGACTATTTATTAAGTAATATCCTGATGCATGTTCAATAATTCAGGTAGAAAAATCTAAAAAGTTAAGTCTGGTCCTCTGGACATTCACAAAACAAACAATACAGTTTATAA